TACAAGAGACCAAATGACACAGAAATTAACAGCTATAGGTCACCGTACGGATTTCAACAATGAGCAAAGCCCATACCGCACAGTAAGCTATAAAAGGCCCCGAAATGACAAATGTAAAACAATTTAAACGAGAAAACTAACGGCCTAATTTATGTACAAAATAATGAACGAAAAACAAATATGTTACACAGCAACAAACGACAACCACTGAATTACAGGCTCCTGACTTGGGACAGGCGCATACAGAATCTGGAGGGGTTAAACTCGTTTGAAGGCGCCAACTCTTCCCCTAACCTGGGACATTGGTGTAACAGTACAATATTAGAACAAACTACAAAAATCAGTTGAAAAAGGCTTAACTAATCAGATTAAACCTATGTATATGTCAACTGACGGCCTAACCATAAGGTAGCCTTAACATAATACATATATCCAATACATAAGATGAAAAAAAGGAAACAGAAAGCAAATTTGGCTAAAAAGGTTGCAAAGGTAGAAAACTGAAGATAGACCAGTACGACCCAATACAGCCCAGGTGCTCTTGAGAGGTATACAGTTTCTGTCCCAATAGTGACACCCATCGTCTTACTTCTGTTAAAATCGTATGATAAGTTATATTCAATTGTACAGGGCATATTACAACAACAGATTTATACTCATTAAACGTGACAAACTGATGTATTCTTATACTTCAATATTTCCCAATTTTCAATAAATTTGCTTTAAAAAAATCAAATCATCAAGTAAAAACGTATATTTTTTAAGGTTCGACATGATGGATATTTTGAGTTAACAAGGTCAAATAAAAAAGCCGGAGGTGTACTGGACCAGATATAAATCATTACTGGAGTCATACATATACTTGTAGCCTTGTCTTTCATGAATGACAGATCTATACTAGATAAATTCAACCCGGCGTTCACTTCAACACCTTCTCGTAACCCCAATATTTTAAACTACAAAAAGTTTATCAGATAAAACTGATATATTTGAAGATATTCGCGTTTTAATTCAAAAGCGAGACATTCAAAACTAAGATATCATCTTCGAATTGAATTAAAAAAATTATCGTTTATATCTTATAGGAGCGATTTGTATGAATTCACTTGTATCCTATAAAACGTGTGATTTGCTTTCGACGTAAGGGGGCCCACGTTAAATTATAAACAAGGGCAAAAAGTTGCGTGTCAAATCTACAATTTGGCATTTATTGTTTTCGTATTAGAACTTTTATTATTGATTGATGGCACGATATGAGATTAATATCACTGTCTTTATCCGGTCATTAAATTAGAAATTGGGATAATGTTACTCGGAAATTAAATTTAAGATCCTTAAGGTAAAAGAAAATTTAAATATTACGAATTACAGATGTTGTAAGTTGTTAAAGTGACCGCGCATTTGTCTAGCTTTCACAGATCCTTATAAGAGAAGAGGGAAATCTAATTAATCTCGGATAATCCCACTTTATTGAGACACCTCAAAGTTTTAAGGGCAATGTTTGCTTATTATTAAGTTGTTATTCTTTTTGTTGTTGTATTTACCGAATTTGGGTGCTTTGCTGTATCTCTTAATGCTTTCATTTTAGAACCCATTTAGTATGCCTATGATGTAATTTTAGTTGTCTTTCCCTTAAAGGACAGAATTTGAAACCTGAAGCTGTATTCTTTTCTCATAAAAAGCTTTTTCATTGATGTTAAGATAATTTTCAATTTAGAACGTACACATTGATAATTAAGATTATTTTATAAGTAATATGTGAACACTATAAAAAAAAATATGATTGAATTGAAGTAGTAGAATAAGTTTAATTTGAAAAAAATATAAATCATTATTTTCTTTCTCCACCGTCTTTTAATTTTGATATCGTTTCAGAGAAAATAAAAAATGAAACCATTTATACCGTTTAAATGTTTTATCTTTACAAGTAGGATCCTCTTCAACTAGCCACTGGATTCCAAAAATAATTTTCTGACATTCTTCATTACCTATATACTAGTTCTGCGCATGTATTTTATATTTCATTTTTTAACCGATTGATTTGGAACCAACGAAGTAAACATGAACTGCGTTATGCATGTATATGTATAGACTTATTATTTGTTGTTTGTGTTCCCTGTTATTTAAGTTTCAATAAGGAAGGATTCGGTCCATGAAAATGTACACGAGACAATTGCAGAGTGAAATATTGTATAAACATTCTACATTGACTAGAGGTATAGGGGAGGGTTGAGATCTCACAAAACATGTTTAACACCGCCGCATTTTAGCGACTGTTGCAAGTCAGGAACCTCTGGCCTTTCTTAGTCTTGTATGGTTTTTTTAAATTTTGGTTCATTTATATGTTTTGGAGTTTAGTGAGACGTCCATTTTCTCTGAACTAGTACACATATTTTTATTAGGGACCAGCTGAAGTCCGCTTCCGGGTGCGGGATTTTCTCGCTGTGTTGAAGACCCATTGGTGGCCTTGGGCTGTTTTCTGCTCTTTGGTCGGGTTGTTGTCTCTTTGATACATTCCCCGTTTCCATTCTCAATTTTATTTTAAGAACATTGAATGTAAAAAGGAATGATGTAGTTATTCAAGTTGTTATATATTGTACTTTATATTACTCTATTAATGTACCCTTTTCGGTTATAATCCAAATAGTTATACACAACTGACAACTGGCAATCTTTTTGGATGGCTGAATGTACGACCAGTGGCAACTATGTCATGCGTTTTTATGTATGGATGGTTTTTATTTTCTGACTCCGAGATAACCAGTCTTTTATTTTACTCCTTAATGACGCGAGCTTAAAGTGGAGAAGCTGAATATTCCAATTTTTAAGTCACTGGTTTGACATGACCAAAATCAATCCAAAAACACCCCCGCATTCGATGCGTGCACGATCCCAAGAGACCACCTTTTAGAAGAATGTATAGATTCGCCTTATTTTACCTGTTAGTAACCGCATGAATAAAAAAACCATGTTATACTTTTGTCACCTGCCTTACCATGGGATACTAATCTTCCTACATGTGGTTGATATAATGAATGTGCTCTCAATGCTCCAAGTGCGCTGTATATATGATATATGTGTATTTAGGTTTTCAAGATCTTTGCATGACCACGGTTGCTAATCAAGATGACGCATCATACTTGTTTTACTATTTAATCATAAAGCATATTTTGTAAAAAAAAAAAAAGAAAATGTTTTTAATGCATTGTGGACAAAGTATTATCATAGAAATCTAATTCTATTCCAAATCATAATTTTATTCAAAATTTTAAAATATGTAGGAAAATTGAATTGTTGAGAAATCAAGATTTCAAACTTTCAGAATTTGTCCTTTTCTATAAGACAGACTGCATTCATATCAAAACAGTTTGATTTTAGCGAGCATCAAATATTAGTTAGGAAAATGTTAAAGAGAACGCTATAATACATTTTGTACAAACTGTTGGATGTCCATGTGAATAGATGCGAACAAAGCACATATGACGAATTGGAATTAATATTGAAGCAAAAGTGAATAATCATATATCAAAATTATAAATTATTACATGCAAATTCACAAAGTTATAATAAATAACTGATGTGTTAAATCTGACGAGTATGCTCAGAGGGACGCATGTTTAAAGAATTTGTATAGTTTTATGACTAATGATAGTACATGTTTTTTTTTAATGAATTACAAGAAAAAGTCACCAGTTAATAATTTAGTATTATATTATAGTAATCTGTCTTACTTTAAAAAAGTTAAAATTGCGATATAGAAATTTAAGTAAAAAACTAACCCAGAATGTGAAAGTTGAAAAAGTCGATACCACTGCTGGTTAACTGTTAGTCCCCGAGGATATCATCAGCTCTGCAGTCGGTGTCTGCTGGTGGACTGTTCGTCCTCGAGGATATCATCAGCTCAGTAGTCAGTGTCTGCTGGTTGACTGTTAGTCCCCGAGGATATCATCAGCTCAGTAGTCGGTGTCTAAAGCAATGACTTATTTATACATCCCTGGCTTTCAAAAGTTTAGGTTCGAGCGTTCCTGATGACGCTACGGCTAATCCAGAAACGAGCGTAATTGACGAGCAATTCATATTTTTGTGTGTTTCGTGCATCAAGTACATCATTTTATTCTAATTCTTGTCAAAACTTCATAACATCATTTTTAATAGCAAACAAGGGTAAACCTTAATGCCCATCCGCTACGGCGGGGGCATAAAAACAGAAATACGAAACATAAGAATTTAATATGATGACTATAGTATTTGACTGAATTTGAAATGAAAAAAAGGAATTTTGTTTAAACATTTTCGTTTTGTGGGGAAAGATATAAATAATGAACCTTGAAGGAAAATGTTGTTGAAAATAGGAGCATTCAGATTTTACATCATGAAATAAAAATAGAGCAGTGCTGTTAGTACATCACATTTAGATTTAACAAATAAGTTAAACAATGCAAATTAATTTTAGAAGTCATTAATAGCAATAACGATTTGTTTTTTTAATTTGAATTCAAGGACTAGAGATGTTTAAATGGTTATATTTTCGGAAATTTTCAAAGTTCTTACAATAAGGTGTCACAGTCACTACACAGTTGATTAGTTTTTGGCAAATTGTTACGAAAATGGAATGAAAATGATATTTTACACCGTATTGAAATAGAAAAAAAGGGTAAAAACAAAGTCTTTTACGTCGATGCTATCAATCCTTTATTGCTGGACAAAAAATAAGTTTTTAATTTTTCCAACTACTGTTTGTTAAGCCCACTGTCGTCAGGTTTCAATTAATAGAAAGAGTATCGACAAGTAAGAAAGAACTAAACGTATGCCTATCAAACAATGAAGTATTAAACATAGCCTAAATCAAGTTACATCAAGTCATCAAATGATAATGTACAGAACATGGACCACATCAAGTCATCAAATGATAATGTACAGAACATGGACCACATCAAGTCATCAAATGATGATGTACACACATAGACCAAATCAAGTCATCAAATGATAATGTTCAGAACATGGACCAAATCAAGTCATCAAATGATAATGTACAGAACACGGACCAAATCAATTCATCAAATGATAATGTACAGAACACGGACCAAATCAAGTCATCAAATGATAATGTACAGAACATGGACCACATCAAGTCATTCATTGATAATGTACAGAACACGGACCACATCAAGTCATCAAATGATAATGTACAGAACATGGACCACATCAAGTCATCAAATGATAATGTACAGAACATGGACCACATCAAGTCATCAAATGATAATGTACAGAACACGGACCACATCAAGTCATCAAATGATAATGTACAGAACATGGACCACATCAAATCATCAAATGATAATGTACAAAACATGGACCACATCAAGTCATCAAATGATAATGTACAGAACACGGACCAAATCAAGTCATCAAATGATAATGTACAGAACATGGACCAAATCAAGTCATCAAATGATAATGTACAGAACACGGACCAAATCAAGTCATCAAATGATAAAGTACAGAACATGGACCACATCAGGTCATCAAATGATAATGTACAAAACATGGACCACATCAAGTCATCAAATGATAATGTACAAAACATGGACCACATCAAATGATAATGTACAGAACATGGACCAAATCAAGTCATCAAATGATAATGTACAGAACACGGACCAAATCAAGTCATCAAATGATAATGTACAGAACATGGACCAAATCAAGTCATCAAATGATAATGTTCAGAACATGGACCAAATCAAGTCATCAAATGATAATGTACAAAACATGGACCAAATCAAGTCATCAAATGATAATGTACAAATCATGGACCACATCAAGTTACATCAAATGATAATGTACAAAACATGGACCACATCAAGTCATTCTTTGATAATGTACAGAACACGGACCACATCAAGTCATCAAATGATAATGTACAAAACATGGACCAAATCAAGTCATCAAATGATAATGTACAAAACATGGACCAAATCAAGTTATCAAATGATAATGTACAGAACATGGACCAAATCAAGTCATCAAATGATAATGTACAAAACATGGACCAAATCAACTTACATCAAGTTATTAAATAGTGCAGTATACATTGCCAAAATCAAGTTATCGATTGATAATATACAGAACATATTCATAATCAAGTTATAAGATAGTGCAGTATAGGACATAACCAAAATCATGATCAACCTTATCAAATGTTAATGCACAGTATATAGCCCAAATCATGATCAACCTTATCAATGTTAATGCACAGTACATTGCCCAAATCATAATCAACCTTATCAAATGTTAATGCACAGTATATAGCCAAAATTATGATCAACCTTATCAAATGTTAATGCACAGTACATTGCCCAAATCATGATCAACCTTATCAAATGTTAATGCACAGTACATTGCCCAAATCATGATCAACCTTATCAAATGTTAATGCACAGTACATTGCCCAAATCATGATTAACCTTATCAAATGTTAATGCACAGTACATAGCCCAGATCAAGCTATCAGATAGTGCATCAAAATTAACATTGACTATGCAAGTTGAAGACTTAGTGCACGAACTGAAAAGAGAAAATCTTATATTCTTCAAAGAATCCATTCGATGCGGCTTTGGAACAGAAATAATTTTTTTCTTGGTACAGGTCATCCATGGATCTCTCAAAGATTAGTTGTAAGAGTTCTTTAATATGCAGAGAGCTAGGCATTCTTTTTTTTTTATGGGACACCGGATTTAACGGGCGGACGTGGATGCGTATTTATATATGTCACAAAGCAAAACGGACTTCTATTTAGCATGAGTTTTACTGTCGGATTGGTATCAAATGGTGGGGTATAGAAATATATCAAATAGTGCAGATATAGAGCGTAGATCAAATAGAACAATTGAAACCTTTTCAAATAGTGCAGAAAAAAACACACTCCAATCAGTGCAGTTTAGTACACAATGAAATAGTGGGGTAAAATATCTACACCCAGTTAAGGTGGATCATTTTTCGGTGTTGTATAATTAAAACATATGTAATAGTTTTCTGAATGAACAATTAGTCATCATTCGCCTTATTTTTATGAATGGTCAATACTCTATCTTTCGCCTTAATTTTATGAATGGTCAATACTCTATCTTTCGCCTTAATTTAAATGAATGGTTCTTAATTCTTTGAAGTAAATAAATATAAACTTGCGTAGTTTGTTCACAGCAGGAGCTTACAGTTTAATAAAAGGCGTTAATATTCTCGGTAGCAGTAGACCAAAGCTTTGCTGACATTTATGAATTATGAAAATGTCAATGAAAAAATTGTAAATTAAAAAACTAAATACTTGTATTAGTCTTTAACATTCAGGGAATTCCAAATGTTTTTCAAGTCAGGAACCTGTAATTCAGTGGTTGTCGTTTGTTGCTGTGTTACATATTTGTTTTTCGTTCAGTTTTTTGTACATTAATTAGGCCGTTCGTTTTCTCGTTTGAATTATTTTACATTTGTCATTTCGGGGCCTTTTATAGCTGACTATGCGGTATGGGCCGCTTTGCTCATTGTTGAAGGCCGTACAGAAATAATTATGTTTGTTTTTAAAAGAATTTGTGTGCCCAATTGCACCCCCCCCCTTTCCTCTTTGCTCCTTTGGTCTTGGTCCAGGGTGCACCACATTAAGTTATCATTGGAAATTCAATGAATTTTTCTTTGTAAAGATCAAATTTAGTTTACTGCTTGACTGAAAACGATTTAGACAAACACTTGTGTCAGGGTTTGAATTTAGACGAAAAAAACTTCTGAAATCGGTTATTTTGAATGTTATTGACATCGATATTTCAAGGCATATAGCACGTATTTCCTCTTTTTATACCAATATGACAACTTGTCTGTCTCTAAAAGAATTTTTTTTCCACCAAAACTATACCCTATAAGCGCAACAATATGTCTCTACACCACTTTTCCCCCATGGATTTCGTACTTTTTCACATTTTCCCCACAAGTTACGTGACTTTTGGAAAGAAACCACGTGACCTAAAAAAAAAAGACGAATTATCTTCAAATTTAATTTTCTGAAATATTCGATAAATTATCTTTCAATATGGCCAGTGCATGACCTTTGGTACGAATGCAGTATTCAATTGAACTTTGGTAGCGTCTTTTCGAATAGTAAAGGTCTATAATGCCTGAAAGGGAAAGGGTTAATTAGTAGTATTTTTGTTTTTTGTTTTTTTTTAATTTTTTTTTACCCTTAAGAAATTTTATTGTAACGAAAATAACCAATATTGTTACATCCAACATCCAGACTTATTTAAAGACTGTTTCGTTCATTAATAAAATCTGTTTTATGAATCACGTTGTAGTGCTGTTTACATAGTATAGAAGTCATAACTGCCAAAAGACGAGCTGAGTTACAAAGGAACGTAGGTATCCAAGATTTCGAAAACAAAAAATAAACTATAATTTTTCCTGAAATAGTTTATACGAAGCTTAGACGTTGTGGTGTATACCAGTACGTGAATATGACAGCCACACTATGGCACAAATAAACAAAAGAGTTGTTTTAAAAAAAAAAATCAAAAAGGTCTTTTAAAACATGTGCCTAAAAGCATCCATACAATATTAGTGAAAGAGGCATTTTTAAGTAAGTATAGGAAGCAAGAAAAATTGTTAAAACCCAAAATAAGACTATAGTAGCCTATTCACTTTGAAAAACATTTGGAATTCCCTGAATGTTAAAGACTAATACAAGTATTTAGTTTTTTAATTTACAATTTTTTCATTGACATTTTCATAATTCACAAATGTCAGCAAATCTTTGGTCTACTGCTACCGAGAATATTAACGCCTTTTATTAAACTGTAAGCTCCTGCTGTGAACAAACTACGCAAGTTTATATTTATTTACTTCAAAGAATTAAGAACCATTCATTTAAATTAAGGCGAAAGATAGAGTATTGACCATTCATAAAATTAAGGCGAAAGATAGAGTATTGACCATTCATAAAAATAAGGCGAATGATGACTAATTGTTCATTCAGAAAACTATTACCTATGTTTTAATTATACAACAACGAAAAATGATCCACCTTAACTGGGTGTAGATATTTTACCCCACTATTTCATTGTGTATTAAACTGCACTAATTGGAGTGTGTTTTTTTTCTGCACTATTTGAAAAGGTTTCAATTGTTCTATTTGATCTACGTTCTATATCTGCACTATTTGATATATTTCTATACCCCACCATTTGATACCAATCCGACAGTAAAACTCATGAAAAATAGAAGTCCGTTTTGCTTTGTGAGATATATAAATCTTATCAAATGTTAATGCACAGTACATTGCCCAAATCATGATCAACCTTATCAAATGTTAATGCACAGTACATTGCCCAAATCTTGATCAACCTTATCAAATGTTAATGCACAGTACATAGCCCAACTCATGATCAACCTTATCAATGTTAATGCACAGTACATTGCCCAAATCATGATCAACCTTATCAATGTTAATGCACAGTACATTGCCCAAATCATGATCAACCTTATCAAATGTTAATGCACAGTACATAGCCCAACTCATGATCAACCTTATCAATGTTAATGCACAGTACATTGCCCAAATCATGATCATTCTTATCAAATGTTAATGCACAGTACATTGCCCAAATCATGATCATTCTTATCAAATGTTAATGCACAGTACATTGCCCAAATCATAATCAACCTTATCAAATGTTAATGCACAGCATATAGCCAAAATTATGATCAACCTTATCAAATGTTAATGCACAGTACATTGCCCAAATCATGATCAACCTTATCAAATGTTAATGCACAGTACATTGCCCAAATCATGATCAACCTTATCAAATGTTAATGCACAGTACATTGCCCAAATCATGATTAACCTTATCAAATGTTAATGCACAGTACATAGCCCAGATCAAGCTATCAGATAGTGCATCAAAATTAACATTGACTATGCAAGTTGAAGACTTAGTGCACGAACTGAAAAGAGAAAATCTTATATTCTTCAAAGAATCCATTCGATGCGGCTTTGGAACAGAAATAATTTTTTTCTTGGTACAGGTCATCCATGGATCTCTCAAAGATTTGTTGTAAGTAAGAGTTCTTTAATATGAAGAGAGCTAGGCATTCTTTTTTTTATGGGACACCGGATTTAACGGGCGGACGTGGATGCGTATTTATATATCTCACAAAGCAAAACGGACTTCTATTTAGCATGAGTTTTACTGTCGGATTGGTATCAAATGGTGGGGTATAGAAATATATCAAATAGTGCAGATATAGAACGTAGATCAAATAGAACAATTGAAACCTTTTTAAATATTGCAGAAAAAAAACACACTCCAATTAGTGCAGTTTAGTACACAATGAAATAGTGGGGTAAAATATCTACATCCAGTTAAGGTGGATCATTTTTCGTTGTTGTATAATTAAAACATATGTAATAGTTTTCTGAATGAACAATTAGTCATCATTCGCCTTATTTTTATGAATGGTCAATACTCTATCTTTCGCCTTAATTTTATGAATGGTCAATACTCTATCTTTCGCCTTAATTTAAATGATGGTTCTTAATTCTTTGAAGTAAATAAATATAAACTTGCGTAGTTTGTTCACAGCAGGAGCTTACAGTTTAATAAAAGGCGTTAATATTCTAGGTAGCAGTAGACCAAAGCTTTGCTGACATTTGTGAATTATGAAAATGTCAATGAAAAAATTGTAAATTAAAAAATTAAATACTTGTATTAGTCTTTAACATTCAGGGAATTCCAAATGTTTTTCAAAGTGAATAGGCTACTATAGTCTTATTTTGGGTTTTAACAATTTTTCTTGCTTCCTATACTTACTTAAAAATGCCTCTTTCACTAATATTGTATGGATGCTTTTAGGCACATGTTTTAAAAGACCTTTTTGATTTTTTTTTTTAAAACAACTCTTTTGTTTATTTGTGCCATAGTGTGGCTGTCATATTCACGTACTGGTATACACCACAACGTCTAAGCTTCGTATAAACTATTTCAGGAAAAATTATAGTTTATTTTTTGTTTTCGAAATCTTGGATACCTACGTTCCTTTG